AAGGTAAGTACGAAGGAAAAGAGCAGGACAGAGGGAAATACTGAAGATGAGAGAGAGAGAGAGAGAGAGGAGTTGAAGAAATAAAGTTGAGGAGGAAATGGGAGAGTAGAAAAAGAATAAAGATGCAGAGAAATTTTTGGATATAAAAATGAATATAAATATCATGATAAATAATATTTATCTTCCTTGTGAAATATATTCTTCTATAAAGAGAGAAAGTCTGGCATTGAAAACTTAAAGGAATAGGGAAAATGAGAATAACCACTATATATCCCATAGCACAAAGAGTGAAATCATTGCCAAATTGCAGAGGATTAGCTGGGCCAAGAGTGTGGATTTGCAGTGTCCCAAACTACTTCTGGTTCCTGACTTCCTCTGACACTACTCAGCAGCCAGGAAACCAGAGTAAAAGGCAGAGGGAGTGGCTCAGAGCTGGGGATTAACATGGGGTGGGGGTGGAGGGTCTGGAAGAAGAAGGTCAAGAGGTCCATTGGGTCCAACTAGATAAAAAGGAAATAAAGCCAGAGTGTGCATCACTGTTCCACGTCAATTGGTCTTGTGTCCTGAACTTGCCTGAAAACTTCTGCCAGTGGTGCAGCACAGAGGTTAAGAGCACAGGCTCTGGGGCTAGGTTAGAGCTTTTGAGAACTGCAGTTCTAAGAGATACTTGCAAAGAGTGGGTTTTGATATGATAGCAACTCTGATCCTAGGAGGTGGGATTTCTTGATACCCATGATTCTGGATACTAATGATCAAAACACATTTGCTTCTTGTCTGCTGCCATGAACAAATTGCTTTGATAACATTTAAAATCGAGTCAATACAATGGTAATAAAATCTCCTATTAATATACCTGAGAAGCATGTTATAAAACTACAGTAGCATGGAAATGTGTTCCTTTGCTTAAAACATACAGTCTTTACTGTTGAAAGTCTAAATAAATATAGATACTTATTGTCTATAAATAATGAAACAAATTCAATTCATTGAAATTTAAAAATTCTCATGTGTTTTGATCAGTGCTGTAATAGACCCGCTTTGTCTTTTAAATATTGATTACCTAGCATGTAAGAAATTACGATCTTGCCTGGCCAGTGTGTCTCAGTGGTTGAGTGTTGACCCATGCACCAGGAGGTTGCTGGTTTGATTCCCGGTCGGGGCACATGCCCAGGATGTGGGCCAGGTCCTCAGTTGGGGGCATGCTGGAGGCGGCTGGTCAGTGTTCTCTCTCATCGATGTTTCTGTCTCTCTCTTCCTCTCCCTTCCTCTCTCTCTGAAGATTAATAAAGAAAAAAAATTAAAGAAAAAAAAGAAATTGCAATCTCTTTCCAAACTCATGTTATAATCTGAATGTCTCTACCATGCATACTTTTTATTAAAAATATATACAGTTTCTATTTGTTCTAGGAACTGTATTCATAGTCTATGTTTTGCTGTTTTTCTACCCTAAAGGTAAAAATTAATAGGAAAAAATACTGTGGGCAAGGAGATTAATGTCTAGTTTATTGAGGGTATAACTTTTTTCTTCAGGAGGCCACTAATCTCAACATTAAATATTAAAGAAATAAAATATTTAATTAAAAACAAAAACCAAACTGACACCCAAACCAAAATATAGCAACCTGTGATAAATTTGAAAGAGAACACAGGGCCCATGAATACTTTATTTCAGAAAGAATAAAATAATAAATTTTTCTTACTTTTAAGAAGTTCTTCATTTAAAAAAATTGTTACTTTTTCTTCTTTTATTTTTAGGATAATCATATTGTATATAATAAGATTAAACCATTATAATGATATAGTTTTGACAAATGTATGTACCTGCGTAACCAGGACCACAATCTAGATAAAGAATATGTCCATCATACTAAATGTCTCTAGTCTATGACAAATAACTCACACCCACCCACTGCCTGAAGCAACCTCTGTTCTGCTTTGACAGCCTAGATTGGTTTTGCCAGAACTGGTTTTACTCTAGAATTTTATATAAAGGAAATCATACAGATGTACTCTTTATTTCTGGCTTCCTCTCACTAAACATGCTATTGCATTTATCAGTACTTTGTTCCTTTTTTTTTTTTTCTTAAATTTCCATGTTTGCTTATCTACTCACCTGTTTGGTGGACCCCTTTGAGCTCTTTCCAATTTGGGTCTATTATAAATAAAGCTGCAGTGAACATTTGAGTCCAAGTCTTTTGCTAGACACTTTTAGGAAAATTTCTCTAGCAAGTTCCTAAGAGTGGAATTAGCTGGATGTATGGTAAGTGTGTGTTAAACTTAATAAGAAAGAGCCAAGCAGTTCTCCAAAATAACTGTAGCATTATTAGATTTCAGCCAGCAACATATGAAAGTTCCAGTTGCTCTATATTTTGGCTAACGTCACTAAAGGTATTTGATTTTTTGTGTTTTGTCATTTTTTTTTTTTAACATTGAGTTTATTTTGTGAACTCTTCATAGGAATTCTTTGAGACCTGTTTTGAGGAAGGGACTCTCCAGAGAGGATTCGTGTGTTCTTCCATTTGTGTTAGAATGACAATCTAATATCCTTGCATCACAAACCTCAGAATGCTCCTGTTTTTGTCCTTTCTGAGGCCCAGCTCTTGATAATTTTTGGAATTTCTGAGCTCTTCCAGTAGATTTTGTCCATGTACCAGTGCCCAGTCTTTACTTATTACAACTAAGAGAACCTAAGCAAGTGTCCGGGATTGTAAGCCCCTATGAATGTGGTGGATACTATCCCAGAGAAGAAATCTGAGGCTCTTCCTTAATCTCTTACATGATCTCGATGCCTCCACTTTCACCCTTATTTGGAAGAAATAAGCCACGTTGCAGTGTCCACACCAGGATATTGTAGAATGACTTTGCTGCAAAGTTAACAGACCCAGGCATGCATCTCAAAGCTTGGTGCTGTCCTTCAAGTGGCTGATTCAGGAGCCAATCAGAGAAACAGGAAAACTGGACCTGGGAATCCCGTCATATCCCACATGCAGCAATAGCTGATCACAATGCCAGTTTTCTGGTTATATGTAATTTGGGGAAATTTCTTCCTCTGTTAAGCAAATATAGTGCTGTAGTGTATGAGCAGTGGCTCCTGCTCTCGTGCATACCAAGAATAGTGTTTGAGTACTTGGTAACTTTTTCAACTATTGATTCTTGGCTGTGTTTTAGGTTCACAAGGTGAAAATAGCTACACTATTTTCCAGTTTCTAGTGCTTATGTATTTACCTAGTAATGTAGAGCCCTTTGGGTTAGTTGGCTTATTGATTAATCACTGCCTTAAGTAACTGATAGTTCAAAGGCTGTTCACTTTGGAAAGGTCGTGGCTACACAGTAACTAATCAGAGGTTAGTGGTTTACAAGCTCATTTGGCACTTGTAGGTTTATTGTCCCAGAGATTAGAATTATTAATTTAGTTACAAAAATACATTTCATGTTCTGGCTGCTGTGGGGAATGTTTTCCATAAGGTGGTTAGAGAAGGACTTCACAGTCCCAGACAGAAAAAAAGGATCAAATTTTTCTTAAACAATTGAATGAAATTTCCAGGAAGAAGCAGAGTATCACTGTGGATATATATACACTCATTCCTCATTTGGCTTTGAGTGATTCTCCTGTTCACTTACCCTAAAGTGAATCTTGACAACCAACGAGTCTACTTATGTATAGAGTGGCCCTATTTCTTCATTTTAAAAGAATAGACCATCAAGGGTATAGAGATATTTAGGAAATATAGAAACATAAAATAAAGACTTCTTCCTATACCCCAAAGAAGAAAAACAAAACCAGAAACAAATAACCCCAGAGGAATTAGAGCTAAATAAGAAGAGGTAAAATGTCGAGTAAACAAATAATGGGTCTATGTTGAACTCAGTGGAGGGGCATTTCTGCCGTGGGCTGAGCACACCAGTGGTCCAGGCAGAGTAGAACTGTGGAGGGCTTTGCAAGAAAGGTCATTGAAATAAAGGGAATGTAATGGAATTGAAAACATGACTAAAATCTTGAGAAACACCGAGAAATGATGATGGTGCAGAATGCAAGAAGAAAAGGTAAAGCTGTCAGAAACTCCAGTGAACAACAACCAACCAACCAACCAACAAATCTACACAAGACAGTATGATCCAAAGCTGCAGTAAATTAATGTGACACAACTTTTAGCACTGGTGAGTATAAGGCAGGAGAATCCATCTGAACTACAAGACAGGATTATTCTCCAAGTATCAGAGGGGCTATGGCATTAGAATCTTGGAAACACAAGAATATTCATAGCACACTAATGTTTCTGCAGATAATATTTTGCGGTCGCAAAAATGTAAACACCATTTACTGGTGTCAACATTTGCAATCAAAGAAATGAAAGACTTTCCCATCAGAACGGCTATCAGCTTTGACCATATGAAAGCAAAGCTAGAGCTGAAAGATGTTGGGAGGTCACATGGGGAATGGAAGGTGAAAGAAAGAGGGAATCAATCCACGAGAATCCCCAGCTGCAAACAGGGAGCCAGGAGAAACTGACTGTCTAAGTAAGATGTGGAGGTTTAAGTCTGAAGTTGCAGACTTGAATTGAGAATGGTGATATAACTATATTGGGAGGCAGAGGGTAGAGGTTGTGGGAGGTGGGACAAATCAGCTATCCTTCATCTGGTAGCTAAGTTATAGCAGGAAGTTACAGACAATCAGTAAAGATGATGCACCATGAAACAGAGATTTGAGCTTTCTATTTAGAGGTTTATAGGTAACCATGAGAAGAATTATTTAAAAGTGGTTCCCTCTGCCTGTTGGTGTGGCTCAGTGGATTGAGCATTGTCCCATGGACTGAGAGGTCCTGGTTCAATTTCCAGTCAGTGCACATGCCTGGGTTGTGGGCTCGATCCCCAGTAGGGGGCGTGCAGGAGTCAGCTGATCAATGCATCTCTCTCACATCGATGTTTCTATCTCTTTCTCTCTTCCTCTCTGTCTAAAAAATAAACAAAACATATTTAAAAAAATAAATAAGGCGGCTGCCGAAGAAGTGGTGGGGGAAGAGGTGGACATCAATGCAAGACTGAATAAGAAAAACAATTGCTTCCTCCTAAACCATGGCATATCAGTTATATAGAAATACCACTTTGGGAAACAATCTTCAGGAAAGCCTCGATGAGCTCATACAGTCTCAACAGATCACTCCCCAACTTGCCCTTCAAGTTCGACTTCAATTTGATAAGGCTATAAATGCAGCATTGGCTCAGAGGGTCAGGAACAGAGTCAATTTCAGGGGCTCTCTAAATACGTACAGATTCTGCGATACTGTGTGGACTTTTGTATTGAATGATGTTGAATTCAGAGAGGTGACAGAACTTATTAAAGTGGATAAAGTGAAAATTGTAGCCTATGATGGTAAAAATACTGGCTCCAATACTACAGAATGAATAGAAAAATGGCTTTTTTATGCCATCCTCTGTTATTATTCATCACTTTTTAAAGAGAAGCATAGAAGAGACTTTATTTATTCTAGCATTGCAGAAACGGCCACACTGTGCTATACTATCAGAGAATCCAGTAGAAAGAAGCTTGTAACTACATTACCTTTATTCTGCAGCATGAAGAAACAGAACTTTTTTTTTAAAGACAAATCAAATGTTGCCTTCCTATTAACATTCTTTAATAAACTCATTTTAAAACTCAAATAAATAAATAAATAAATAAATAAATAAATAAATAAATAAATAAATAAAAGTGGTTCCCTCTAGGGGACAGGGGGACCAAATAACTTGTGTTTTCCATTATAAGCCTGTGGTATTAAAACTTATACATATTAAATTTGTATCCTGAGGTCATCGCTGCACTATCTTTCCTCTGAGCTCATAATGAGGTGCACAAATGCCTTAATAACTGATGGCATGAGGATAGGAACCTTTACCATACAGTGATACAAACTCTTCACTGATTTAATTTGTGGGGCAGAAGAGAAAACCCCTCTTTATTGAGGTGGAGGGGAGAATCCCACCTCAATTTCTTCAGGCTATCTTTAAAAAAAGACAATTATTTTTTGGTCTCTATGTCATTTATTTCTGCTCTGATCTATACTATTTCCTTCCTTCTACTTGCTCTGGGGTTTTATTTTTGTTTGCTTTCTAATTCTTTAAGTTGTGAGGTTAGGCAGTCAATTAGAAATTTTTCTTGTTTCTTGAGGTAGGCCTGTAGTGCTATGAACTTCCCTCTCAGAACTGCTTTTGCTGCATCCCATAGATTTTGTGTTGTTGTGTGTTCATTTTCATTGGTTTCCAGGAAGTTTTTAATTTCTTCCTTGATCTCCGCGGTGACCCATTCATTGTTTAATAATATGCTGTTTAGCCTCCATGTGTTGAAATGTCTTTGCATGTTCTTGTTGCAATTGATTTCTAGTTTCATGCCACTGTGATCTGAGAAGATGTTTGATATGATTTCAATCTTATTGAACATGTAGAGATTTAATTTGTACCCTATAATGTGGTCTATCTTGAGAATGTCCCATGTACACTTGAGAAGAATGTGTATTCTGTAGTTTTGGGGTGTAATTCTCTGTAGATATATATTAAATCCATTTGGTCTAGTGCTTCATTTAGAGTCTCTGTTGCCTTGCTAAGTTTTTGTCTAGAGGATCTATCCAGTGGTGTCAACAAGGTGTTGAAGTCCCTTCCTATGATTGTATTGCTGTCGATTTCTCCTTGGAAGTCCTCCTGGAGATTTTTAATATATTTTGGTGCTTCTATATTGGGTGCATATATGTTTATCAAGGTTATATCTTCCTGTTGGATAGATCTTTTCAATATTATGTAGTGGCCTTTTTGTCTCTAGTTATGGCCTTCATTTTGAAATCTATTTGATCAAATATGAGTATTGCTACTCCAGCTTTTTTTCCCTTTCCGTTTGCTTGGAAGAATTTTTTCCATCCCTTCACTTTCAACCTATGTGAGTCTTTTGTTGTGAGGTGGGTCTCTTGTAAACAACATATTGATGAGTCATGCTTTCTTATCCAATCAGCTACTCTGTGTCTTTTTATGGGGGCATTCAATCTATTTACATTTAAGGTGATTAATGATATGTCCTTATTTATTGCCATTTTTGTTTAGTGTGGTTCTATTTTTCTTCCCATTTCTCCTGCTAATTACAGCAGTCCTTTTAACATTTCTTGCAGTGCTGGTTTGGTGCTAATGTATTCCCTTAGCCTTTTTTGTTTGTCTGGGAAGCTCTTTATTAGATCTTCTATTTTGAATGATAGCCTTGCTGGGTAGAGTAGTCTTGGATTCAGATCCTGGTTTTTCACGACCTTGATTACCTCATGCCATTCCCTTCTGGCCTGTAGTGTTTTTTGTGAGAAGTCAGCTGAGAGTGTTATGGAGTTTCCTTCGTAGGTAAACTGTTGCTTATCTCTTGCTGCTTTTAGGATTCTCTCTTTGTCTTTAATTTTTGGCAGTTTGATTACTATGTGTCTTGGTGTGGGACTGTTTTGGTTCTTCTTACTTGGGGTTCTCTGTGCTTCTTGAACTTGAATGATTTCTTCCTTCATCAAATTAGGGTAGTTTTCTGTCACTATTTTTTGAATATATTCTCTATCCCTTGCTCATTTTCTTCTTCTTCGGGGACTCCTATGATGCGAATATTATTATGTTTCCAGTTGTTCCACAGTTCTCTTAAGCTGTCTTCCTGGTTTTCAATCATTTTTTTTTTTTTGGTTTTCTGATTGGTTGATTTTTTCTACCCTGTCTTGTAATTCACTGATCCGGTCCTCAGCTTCCTCTACTCTGCTTTTTAAACCTTCCAATGTGTTTTTCATTTCTGATATGTCATTTTTTTTTATCTCTTCTTGATGGTTTTTAATTTCCAATTGGCTTATTTTCAGCGTCTCTATGTCCTTACTCATGCTGTTCAGCTTCCTCAAGATCATGGCTCTGAATTCTAGCTCTGTTAACATGCCTAACTGCTCCACATTGATCTCGTCTTTGGTGGAGGTCTCTTTCATTTGGTGGAGGTCTCTTTCATTTGGCTTCTGTTTCTGTGTTTCACCATTTTGGCTATCACTGTGGGCTTTGGAGCCTGTCAAGTTTTCCCTGTGGGTGTTGGTGTTCTGCTGTTTGTAGCTCCCTCTCCTGGGTTTATATGAGCAAGGGAGGACCCACGTTAAACACCACTGTCAAGTCTTACTTTCCTGGTTAAAGTTGCCAGCCCAGGAAAGGTACTGTTATCCTCTAGCTTTTTGCCTGGAGGCTAGCAGTCGAGGTTACTTGATGAGTTTTGGGTTGTCAGTTGATTGAAAAACTCTGTCAGATGCTCAGCTTAAGGGGATTTCACGAGGGTGGGGCTGATGCTGGTTGTTAATGAGCTTCTATTACCACTTCAATGGCCCACAGGCTGGGGTTGGATCTCCGAGGGAGGGGCTGCTGCCTCTCCCCAGAGCCCTGGGAAGGAGCAATATGGCCACCGTGCTGCTCAGCAGCAGCTCAGCAAAAGCTCTGAGCGCCCTCCAAATCCCGAGTGTCCCCACACAGTTCCAGTCCAGTCCGCCCTCCCTCTGCCGGAGCCCAAGGTGAGTAGCTGTGGCTTTTCTAGCCTCTGTCCCAGTTCTGCGCTGTGGAACCGCCTGGGAGTGTAACCCGAGGTCGCTGCTCACAGCTGAGGCCGCTGGCGAGCTGCCGACCGTGGGCTCCCCGCCCCCGTCTCGCACCTTCGCAATCCTACCAGGATCGAGTCAGTGTCCCTGAATATATGGTCCTCACAAGCTGCTTTTCTGTTTCTTTTCCCCATCGATTTCTCTGTGTTATAGTTGTAATTCCAGTTTGGTTGTGGGAGATGGTCTGTGTAGCTCCGTTCACTCCTCCGCCATTTTGGAATCCCTTTCTGGGGGTGACTGTCTCTCCACAAAAATATGCTAAGGATCTCAATGGCGGAGGCTCCGAGGCTCCAAATCCCTGTGGTGCTGGTCCCTCCCCACTGGCCCACCGCCGCCACCGCCGCCGCCGACCAAGGCATGCCAAAAGACAATTATTTTTATTAAACATATAGAACATAAAATTTGCCATCATAACCATTATAAGGGGTCAAGTTCAGTGGCATTAATTAAATTCTCAACGTTGTGCAACCATCACCTCTGTTTCCAGAATTTTGCGTCACCCCAGCCTGCGTACCTATTAAGCAATAATGGTCCTTTCCCTCCCCACCCCAGCCCCTGGTACTTCTATTCCGCTTTCTATCTCTCTGAATTTGTCCCATTCTGGGTGCCCCATATAAGTGGAATCACACAATATATGTCCTGTGTCTATCTTATTTCAATTACCATCAGGCTATATTTTGGCAATTTTTTGAAATTCTTAGACCAGTGGCAAAATCTGAAAGACATGGAAAATGTGATTTAAAGTATTTTACTCCAGCCCTGGCTGGTTTGGCTCAGCAGTTGGAGTGTTGGTCTGTAGACCAGAGAGTTCCGGGTTCGGTTCCCACTAGGGGCACGTACCAAAATAAACAAACAAACAAACAAACAAACAAACAAATAAGTAAACTATTTTACTCCATATAAAATCTTAGTGATACCAGAAAAAATTATATCCATAAGAAACAATGGCTGATGAATTTCCCAGAATCTAGAACTGGTGTCTATGCCAAAATTTTCTTAGTGGGTTATTAAAATAGAGAAGCACATTTGGTTAGAGTGAAGAAGAAAGTCATTTGAAATCTGATGCTTTCCAATCATCACTATGTGTGACTGCCCACACTGGAACAGCACTGGGCACCACGCTTAAAGCTCAGTCAGACCGACAGTGCTACTTCTTTTACCAGCTGAGAAGGACATCGTTGCTGCATGGACAGTTTAAGATGAATCACCCAAATCTTGCTTTACCATACAGATGTTACTTGCGGATATGCTCCTGAGGGGTGTTTTGTTTTTGCCAGTGGAATTGCTGCCCTTTATCTGCACACTGATATTGCTTTATTCATGCTCTGCCTTCCTTTCCAAATTTCAGACACCACTAGTTGTATTTGCAAGGGAATGAGTATGTGTGCAAGGATGTGAGTTACAACATATCTAAAGAGATGAAACCATCTCTGGTTATTTGTATCGATTTTCCATTGCCAACTAAAATTAATTTCAAGGATGTAGCAATTTGTAGAAAAACTGAAGGACTGATAACTGCTGGATTCTTTTCTGTGCTTTCTTGAATAGCTGTCATTCTTGACAGATACCCTAGAATGCAGTTATGCAAGGAGATGCTAAACTGTCAGCATTTCATTAAAAACAACCTGCTGAAGATTATAGGGTGACTACTTACCACATCCCAAAGCACAGAGAACACAAATATATTTGCAAGAATATCCCCTAGAGAGCCCAGGAGCAAAACATCTTTGTGAATTGATTCACCTTTTCTGCATCTGCAAAGACACAACAGGGAGAATCTTAAATTTCTCTGAGGTGACCATTTCTATGAGGGAACTGTAGCTGTAATGTAGCTGTCAAAATGAATTGGAGGGCAGGAGCTCTAATTTGCAAGCTAACAGACATGAAAAATATATGATGTGTGTGTGTGTGTGTGTGTGTGTGTGTGTGTTAAGAAAGAGAGTTTTTAATAGAGTTGCTTTATTCTGAAAACTGTGTGGTATCACCTGCAATGATACCACATAAAGAGTTATGTTGTCAGGGTACTTGGAAGAG